ACTACGGAGTGTCAAGCCCCAATGATGAGTATCCTCAAACTCATAGAATGGGGATTATTGTGTACTGTCAAAAAGCATTGCAGACATGTGGATTCTTATGCACAAGTGAAACTAATGAACACACTGATTCCAATGATGGTGTTATTTCCAATTAATAAAGCAACACACTGCAGTCTACGGGGATTACTATGCCCCTGTTAATCAGATTGAAATTTCATTAAAAGGAATCGTAGTCGTACATGTATTTGACAAGATAACACTCATTCTAAACAGTGGATAATTATGTCACTGTAGAATTGCGCACATATATTCAATATTCTCTTACAAAGAAAACTGTTGAATAGTAAAACTCGACTAATCGGATATCAAGGCTAGCTGGGCTTGTTTTTAATGTTGATTTTGGAGTATGAATATATCTGGTATAGCATTCGGAACTCCAACGACCTAAAATCTTGATCAGATGATCTTCAACTTTTGATGCAACTGATGTTGCCTTTCCTGTTCGGAAGCTGTGTCTGTTGTAATTAGATGGGTTGAGTCCGATAATTTCCAGGGATGGATCGAACATGATTAATAAAAAACGTACGTGTTAGAGCCTCTCCATTTTCCATAACAAAGAGCGGACTACAGTTGCAGGCTATGCTGAATCTAGATCTTCTAACAGCGCGATATCTAATTAAAGATTTGACCTGGCACAAAGAGAGTTGTTTTTGAAAAGATGAATATTTACTCAACTTCTGAAAGGGTCTGTTTTAGACGACTTTAAATGTAATATTGCGTAATCCTCCCCGAAAGTGATGTTTTCTATACATAGATTTCAGGATGCGTGGAAGTCTGTGTTGACGGTTAATTCCCCGCAGCGGAGAAATCCGAAGTAAGCGACGATACAAGCTGCCTCAATAAGTGCAGTAACAAATGGCGAAAATATTCACTTTTGAAGCACTGTTATCATGTTTTTAATTATATCATAAATTAGCGGTAATCTTTTTCGGGAACTCTTTACTTCTTGTTTCTTAATACTCCTGTACATTGTTTCTAACCTAAGCAGTTTTGAAGAACAACAGCTACTGAATAAACACTGTACTCTGGATTGAAGATATATGTATCTTAAACCACAAAATGTACATTTTTATTGTAGAACATTTAATTTAAAGATTTTCATGACAATGTGTAGCGTAATGCATTAAGATATCTTCCGTAAGAGGTGGCAAATCTGTTTTATCATCCCACTTAAAACCGGGTAGACACATAAAGTTTTTGTTTGATTTAAATCCATGTTCGTATTGCGAACGCCTACTGCTTGCGATTGAGTTGTGAATTAAATGTTTAACTTTTGCATTTAATACCACATTACTTGCCAAGATTTCGGACACGGATTTGGTTCTTTTTCTGCTGCTGGTGCTGTTCTTGGAAGGTCTTAAAATCAAAGCGAGATGAAGAGTCAGCTATCACATCATTAACTCCGGGAATTTGTTGACATTGGATAGTAAAGTTTTGTTTAACGGATTGCCAAGTTAGTGTTCTCATTAATTTCATAATATCTAGCACTTTAGATCTTCCTTTATTAACTATATTAACGACGGCTTCGTTGTCACAGTGGAACATGATACGTTTCTTATTCCACAAGTGCCCCCATAATAAAGATGCAACAACATTCGGGTACAGTTCTCTAAAAGCCATGGACATGTCTGAATCGAGTGAAGTTGATAGTTCAGAAGGCCAAGTACTACTAAACCATTTACCTTGGAAAAACCCTCCGAAACCAAAGTTAGAAGCCGCATCTGTGTACAATTTTATGTCACTAGCTAAAGTTATATGTTCGTCGTTAAAGAAAGTAACTCTATTCCAGCCTTTTAAGAAATCTCGCCACATGATTAAGTCAGTTCTACAGTCTTTTGATAATGTTATATAGTGATGTTGTTTATTAACTTTAGTAGATAACTTAATGAGATAACTGACAAACGATCTACCCGGACGAATAATTCTGGCGGCAAAACTAAAATGTCCAAACAGTTGTTATAATTCTCTTTTCGTAACATATTTTTATGAAGAAAACTGTCAATAAAATTTGAAATTCTTTCTACCTTTTCATTAGGTTATCTTGCTTCAAATCTTTCAGTGTCAAGTATGATTCCTAGATACTCGATAGTACAAGTGGGACCTACAGTCTTTTTCTTAGAAATCGGAATATTTAGACGATTGAATATAATCGTTATTAGCGCCATTGTTCTAAATCATCAAGAGTCCGGTGGTTGAATAGTGAGAAAATCATCTAATGAGATGAAGTATAACTGGTATGCCGTAATTTTCCTTTGCTATCCAACAAATAGCCAGTGATATATTGTCAAAGATGCAAGGAGAGCTGCGAGAACCAAAACATAGTCTTACATAATGATAATAATTGTTTTTTCATTTCATGCAACATAAGTGATGCTGGTCTTTACGGATTCCTAGCTGTTTGAATGCATCGGTCATATCGGTTTTGTTTAGAATTGTTTGCTTTCCGAAATGCTTGATAGCCCTTATTGCGTATTTTTATATAAGATAGTGAACAGACCTCCTTATCTATAAGACTATTGATGCTTTCATGTGTTTCATATTCGTGTGGAGAATATAGATAAAGGATAAGACGTTTTTTTTGCCAGAATATTTGCCTTCTGCAATCCCAATGGGACTAACACGGTAAGTTTCGAAAGGTGGACTACTAAACGGGCCTTTAACATATCATTTATCTATTTCTTCTTTCAAAAGCATATCAACAGTTTCGGGGTCTCTGATGGCAGAAAGCAAATTCCTACATTCAAACGTAGGTAAATCGAGCATGGATACTAGTGTAACAAAACCGAAACGTATACCATTCAGAAGATACATATCAAAATGTTTATCTGGATGTTTTTTTAAGTTCGTATTCAAGTCTATTTACATTTATAGGTGACATATCAAGTCAGATGTTTGCCTTTGTCATTTCTTTTTTTTTTTTTGAAGCTTTAGATAAGTTGGATAATTTATCTAATTTTGCATTTTCATTGTTTGACCTTGGTTGTTTTGTCTGTTGTTTGGCTAAACCACAAGTTTTCATGCCATGCCCGCTTGACCCAAATTGACGACATGCGTGGATGAATTTGCATTCTCTTCTATAGCAAGTGCCGTAATTGTAGTTATTGCTTTTGACCAGTTGATAACAATATTGTGTAAAAATAATTGAATGTAGATTCTTGACTCATAACCAACAAAATATAAAATGACAAGATCTACAAATGATGAAGCAATCACCGATAGTATACAAGAAAATTGGAGCTCAAAAGTAAATGTTTACTGCAGACTTCAAACATCCATTTACTGCAAACATGTCATCGCAAACATTTTGTCTTATTTCTTACATATTTGGGTTTTATCTCATGCTTCGCGTAATTTCGCAAGTTTGTTGAATTTCACACAAATGTGTTTATATTTCGCAAACACCTTTGCCTAATTAAATTGAAAAGATAAAACATGAATATACTCATATATATATATATATATTCATTTGTTTGATAAGGTATACATTAACATACTATACATGTTCATTTGTTTAAGTAAATACAAATCAACATCTTACATACATGTTTTTTTGTGTGTATAAAACCAGATTTGATCCACCATTTTCTACATAATTAAAAGCCTGTACCTAGTCAAGAGTATAGCAGTTTATTTTGAATTCATTTAATGCGATTGGGCTTTTAATTTTTCCATTTGATAAGGAAATTCCTAATCTGAATTTTCCTTGGAAGTCGGTATTTTTTGTTATTTTACTATCTATATTGCTATTCATCTATGATAACTTATTGTCCTACATCCTGTCGATATAATGTATTTTAACATCATGTTTTTCTCGGACTGCTTAAGACGTCTTTATAACAAATCCGTTGCATGTGTACTGATACTTACCTTGGAAGAACTAATAGTTATAATTGGCTTCGAACCAGCTTCCAGTAACTGTGAGTTCTCTAAGTTAGGTCAATATCCATAATGCACCTCAAACTTAGAAACTAAAAAATAGTGCTTAAACAAAAAAAATATGTGTGCAGCGATATTAAACATGACTTATTTTAAACAAAGTGACTGGGCTCAACCATTTGTGCTAATTTGACGAGTACAGTACCATAAAACAAAAGTGTTAAAACTATGGAGTTATTAAATGTATGCAAAGAACTTTATTTTTAAAGAACTTATTGTGTGAAAAGGGGGATTTTTTTTACATCGAGAAGACGCTTTACTGGGGTCTTTTCGGGGTGTGCTAAAAAAACTGTAAAACGATTATCACTTCGTAACCCGAAAATTTAACCACATACATGTAATTGAAAATGGTTCAGTTTCGATACGAGTCATCATACATATTCCAGATCACAATATGGGCATAGGAATTGCTGGAAAGGCTATCATTACCGTCTACCTAACATGAATTGTGCATTTTGACCCTGATCGAATTTTCGTGTCTTTTGTCATTTCATTTTGCATCGTCCCGATCAAATGAGTTTAACGTATCCAACGGATGTTTACAGTTTGTTCTTATGTTGTGTTGTTACATCACTGTCCCAGGCTCAAACTAAGAGGGGTGTGTGCGATCACCAACATGTGTATCCTCGCCACATTATATACGTTGGTTGGTGTCTGTCATATTTGTGTTTCGTTAATTGCTTTGCCGTCAGGCCGTTGTTTTTGAGGTTGAATTCTTGCAAATTTTGTCATGCTGAGACGTTTTATAGCTGACTACAAAGTATGGGTTTTCCTCAATGTTGAAGGTCATACGGGGATTATAGCTGCATAAATTCGTTTTATTTTATCTCTGGAGGATAGTTGTTTCATTGGTTATCATAACGCATCTCATTATATTATATCGAATCTTTGAATATTTAAGCGCATTCGCTACATGAAATATTAAAAGATAAATCATGTTGAGCTTTGCGGCATATTTTGTAAATATTACATACTTAGTGTATTGTTCTAGATATAAGCTAAACTAAGTAAGCACATGTTTAATGTAAAAGTGAATTCTTGTTAATCTATAAAACAAATGGAACAACTATCTGATGGTATCTTATACAATATAATGATTTTGATACAATAAGCAGCATAAGAAACAAATTAACATCCTGCATCCACATTTTTGTTTTAGCTTAATTTTATTTTAAATTTGTAAATGAAATCCTCCCCCCTAAAATTAGTTCGATTTTAATAATTTGTACATGTGTTTCCTTTTTTTTGTAAGTTTTCGTTTAGAAAAGTTGAACAATCAAAAGTCAGATATTTTAACCTCTTTCGCAATGGGAAATCATAGTATAAAACGAGAATGTATTTATCTTTTTGTCTGTATTTTGGGGAAACGCTTTAGTAGGCTTCAATTTCATATTTGATGTCATATGAAACATCATAACTGTCGTGACTGTATTGCAAAATATTTGTTAGTACTTTAAAAACAAAATATAGGATTTATGATATTCCAGTAAATAAAATTAAAATCATGCATTTTAAAATTATCAATTCTAAATATAATTAATATCACTACACATCTTTATAGTGTTGAATGGGCCTTTTGGACAAGGCGCTCCAGGCAGATTGATATTACCACATTGATTTGGAGCAATTATGGCAATTAGTTCTTTATAAAATTTCTCCTGGTTCCCTTTGATGTTGTAATCGCTGCACGCATGTGGATTTCCTGTAAACGTACAGTCATTTGTTTCTTTCTTAGATTCAACACCTTTGTTCTTCTGATTTCCTTCGAATTTAGAAGTATCCCCTTTAATCTTTTTAATTTTTTTCTTTTTTTGGCTCTTCTGACTCTCTTTCCCTGAAGAGCTTGAAGCTTTCTGACAAACTACTCGGAATGGTCTTGAACCGGCCCCGTGTCCGCCCATTTCATATCCATCACAGTTACAATTGTTCAGCGAAAAAGACACCTTAATTTTTGCCTCTCTTCTGCCTCTCCAGTCCACTCGTTCTTCTCGTCTGTCGGATGCTTGGCAGTATGTAACAATGCAAAGTAATACCAGAAAGAATACTATCTTCATCCTGCAAAATTAAAAAGTAGTTAAACAAAGCAACAGATAACAAGAATACATCATAAGAATCTGTTTGAATAATTTGTATAATACAAATAATGATATTAATTTAATAATAATAATAAGAATTATGATAATGATGACAATAATGAAAATAATAATAATAATCATAATAATAATGATAATAATAATTTTTAGTTTTAGTCTAAAGAGTTATAGGAATAAAACGAGTTGAAAACAAATAACAAACATATAATATAAACATATATACACATTTTACAACAATCAGTAAAATAAAGGGGCATGAGCTACGAATAAGACAAATAACAAAATGTAATTTGTTTTTGTTTAAAACGTTTATAAATGAGGAAAATAGAAATGATATTTCGGTATTCGTAGTCCGTTAGGTTCAATTTCGTGAAAACGCCTCCAAAATCATTAATTCATTCTCATTTGAATCCATTTCCATGCAACCTTAGATCTGACCTTTAGTGGACAGTATTGTTGTACAGTTATTAGCATTTTTGTTGGGTCTTATTCAGAGTGCCTATATTTATCCTTTTTGTTTAAAAAAAAAAACTGAACCGCCACTAAAAATTAGTAGTCTTGTTTCAAATGGTTTGTACAACAAAAAAGTCTGTCAGCATTAATCAACACCGTGACTGTCCTTATTTCATATCATAAGTTACAGTGTCAACATTTCCTTTTTTTTTAATCAAAATACTGAATAACCACTAATATTACTTCGTTTTTAGATTTTAGGATGCTTTATATAACACAACAAATTGCCGGCATTAACCAAAACTGACTATATTTGTACTGTAGTATAGAAATGTTATGGCAGTATCTTATATCAGTAAATTAGCTAACTCAGGATGGTTTGTATATTACAAATGGCTGCAATATTGGTACGAACTGATCAATTTAGTGCCAATGATTCCTCAATTAAGTCAAAATACTGGACCGTTACAAAAATAACAAAAAAAAACCCAACAGTTTTCATAATTTAGGATGGTTTGTATATTCAAACTGGATCATCAGACACATTGAGGTCAGTTTGGGTTAAATTTGGCCTTGTAATTTCACAAAAAAAGATTTTTATAAAGTTAACGGACGACGACGCACAACGACAAAGACGGACATTAAGTGATTAGAAAAGTTCACTTAGTCCTTTTCGACCAGGTGAGCTAAAATCAATAGTTTGCATATCACAGGATGGTTAGTCATGTTAGTATAACTAAAATATGTTTCTGCATCAATCAAAACTGACCATAATTGTATTTTATAATGGAAATTACATGGCGGTATCAAAAATCAGTAGTTTTTTTTACTCAGTATGAATTGTATTATACATATAACAGCAATAGTGGTCCATAATGATTACAAACTAATTCTATCTGCATCAATTTAGACTGCTAGCATTTTTTTTCTTTTCATTCAAATACTGAACAGTCACTGAAACTCAGGGTTAAGTGTATAATACAAATGACAGCAATTCTATTGGTAAGCAATGACTAAGAAATATTGCTCGCATCAATTAAGAATGCGAACATTCCTCTTTTAAGTTGAAATATTGAACCGTCACTAAAATCGGTAGTTTTTATATCTCATTATAGTTTGTATAAGACGCTGTTTGGCCGCATCAACCAATAATTACCATATTTGTAGTTTATAATGAAACTTATAAAACAATATTATGGATAAGAAAATTTGCTTACATAGGATGGGTTGGGTAATACAAATGCCAACAATATTGGTACACAATGGCTATAAAATATTGTCCGCATCAATGTGGAGAGCCAACATTTCCTCGTTTTGTCCCAAATATTGAGAGTTCACTAAAATCAGTAGTTTAAATATATGATTCTCAGGATGGTTTGTATAACAAAGCGCTCAGTCAGCATATTCAAAAAGTTACCATACGTGTACTTTATAATACAATTAAATGGCAGTGTCCTAAATCAGTAATTTGTTAACTCAGGATGGATTGTATATTACAAATGACTGCAACATTGGTACGCAATGGCTACAAAAATTTGTTCACATCAATTTAGATCTAGAGTGTTAGCATTTCCTATTTTTATTCAAATTACGGAGACATCACTTAAAATTAGTAGTTTTTATATCTCACTCAAGAACTTGATAATGAAAAGTGATGATGGTGCAAATTTCGTTTATATTACTGTCGAAATCAACGAGAAGGCCCTAATAAGATTTAGAAAATTATACAACACCTTCTATATCCGAACACTTTATATCATTCGGTTGAACATTTCCTCGAAAATATTATCGTAAAACCTATGCAAATCAAGAGAAATATGACAAAAAATCAATGTTATGCATAACATATATATATATTTAGGAAGGGACTGTCACAAACGGGGAACGTAAACAGTGTTGTTATCATCCAATCATATACATTTATATTTTCGATGCACATGGCACACTGAATGACTTTTTCCTTAATGATATCTGCTTGTATATGTATATATATGTCGGTCAACAAATGCAAAATTATTTTATTTATACAAGAAGAAAAAAAGAAATTTTAATGTGTAAACATAAAGGATATTACAACTACAGTTCAAAGATAATATAATTTTGTTGTGCGGAAAAATAAATCAATACAATTATTGTTTATATAATTAAAGGTCAGGTCTGATATAAAAACTGTTAAACACAACAATCTATCAAAAATAGACCAATTATAGATTTAGTCAGGAGCTAACCTTTTCTCATGATTGTTCAAAAGTAGACCTTTACACAGGTTGGGCCTGGAGCAGACTTGTCCTAAGAACTAGTCAAAATCAGATCTGTCGACTAATCTTGTCTGAAGCAAACTTATGAAAAGGTCTTAAGCAGTCATAAAACAGACCTAACGTTGGAGTCGTTCGCTTATTTGCATAACATTTCTGAAGTTAACTTAGGAAGCACTCAAAAAGTGTGCTCCTAGTTAACTTTTGTACAAGTTAGGACTCCAATCTGTAGCCAAATATTTTCGGAACAGCGAACAATGTTAACATTATCTTTCAAGGTATTTTGGTTGAAGCTTTCTTGATGACGGTCCATGATCAAAAGTTCACCGGCGTACGAGATTAATAAATTGGAATTTTCATTTAAATTGTTACAGAATATTCTGATGCTTCTGAAGCTCATTTGTTTTAAAACCTGATCTACAATAAAAATGTCCTATAATTATTACAGAATAAAATAAACTACCATACCTTTACAATAATTATCTGTGTAAACTTTCACTACATGTATAAGTTAATACAAAAATGAAACGGAATGAACCGATATTTATATTTTGTAAAATAATATATCACATGGCCTTTTGTTGGTTTTATATGAATTTCTTTAGACTTCTAGGAAATAGTAAGATGATTTGTCAGGGTCGACGAATATACATCATAATTACATCACGCATCAAGCATGCTCATTAATTAGCTGTTGTTTGTCATACAATTGTTATACAATTTCCCCTAAATAAATGTTTGTTTTCAGCAGGAATTAATTTCTGAGTATCGTAGCTTTCTATGTGTATACCACTTTTGGTGTATTTTAAAAAAGGTAATAAAGGTATACGGTCAAAAATCTAGCTCAAACTGCATTTTTGATTGGAGACATTTTTACTTACAGCAATATTATATCGGTATTAAAGATATGAGTTTTTAACAGTTACAACATCAGTCTTTTTGGTTAAGGATGTTGTTTGAAACAATATTGTGTAACAAAATCAAGTACAATTTTCTAAATTGTTTTGTTTCAATAGCATAGCGTACAATTTGAATTTAGACTCGTTATTTTTCCAAATTCTAGTGGAATTCCAAAACCTTCCAAATTAAATATTACTATTGAACAAAAACATTTTATATTGGCCTTACCCATCTACTAGAATGCTTCAATTGTTAATCAATTGACCTTGCATACGGTATGACATCTTAATATTTAACTTTGTCGTAGGGTCACTGATGCATAATTGTTCAGGTTGAAAAGTTTCAACTTGTCGATGTTACATTATTTTTTGCCAAGTTAACTTACATTTATCTTAATGTTCCCCTTGGTTGTGTAAATGTTTGTATTGTTTGTGCATTTCACATGTTTGTGCAAATTGCAACAGTTTGTTAGATTGGTGTAACCCGTTATAGTCAAATAAAACACCTCATATATGAGTTGGTTTGTGTGCCAGGGACAAAAAGAGTTTGTAGGGCTTTTGCTCGAAGGTGAAGGCTTCGTTTTAAAACAAAAACGCTTTGTTTCGCTGCATTTGGTTGACAAGTTGATGCATTCAATTCGTGTCATATCTCATTTTCTCAGAATGAAACCTCGTTTTTTTAAATTGATAAACGTTTAAGCTATTTTTATTGATTACAGTGTTCACTTCGTAATAATGACCCTCAGTAAAGTCAATCCATATGTTAATGTCATTAGTTACTATAGTTTCTTTTTCAGCATATTCCGATTGCTAATAGTTTTGCTAAAAAAAGCAGAATTGAGGAACATTTGGAGAGAATATTAGAAGCAAATTAGTGTATGCAGTTTTACATGTTTTAGCACAGATATACATGCAATATCAGAAAACGTTTAATGACTTCTCCGTTCGGTCCAAGGACCAAACTCAAGTGAACAAACTAAATAGCGTAGTACTGTTAATCATACATCCTGTCGATGATTTTGTATGACACTTTGGCATTGAACAGTGTCTTGCATTTCTCAGACTGTTTATGATAATTTAACGCTAAATCCGTTCCAAGTGTACATCTGTACTAATTGTTATCTAAGTCCGAGAAAACTTAATTTCTTTATTGGTTATTGGTTATTATCTACTTTGAACATTTCAGTAATTCGAGAAAACCTTTATCAATGCCTTTTGGATATTGTTTAATGTAGGTTGTCTTTGTGTCTCGTACCGATCTTTTGATGAGTTAAGCTAATTTCTACTGATTTTTACAGTCTGTTCTTATATTGTACTCTCAAAATTATAGAGAGGGTTGGTCGTTCACAAACATGTTTAACCACGCCACATGTTTATGTGCTTACGCAAAAACAGACGCCTGTAGTATAGTGGTTGTCGTTGGTTCAAGTCCGTCATATATGTTTTTAAGTCATATTTTTAAACATGCCATTTATCGTCTGTAAAACATATAGTCCATAACGGTTAACCCAGTCCATAAATATTTCGAAGGATGGATTTCAACTACACGACTTCGATCTTTTAGTTTAAAAGCTTCCGTGTAATCCGTAACTCTCTATCAAAAATATCATGATAAGAGATGCTCTTGATTGAAATATGTACATAATTATGCAGGCGCTGCTGGAATATTGCTACATTCACAATTGGGAAGCTGATCATGAAATTATCTCATGTATCGTAAAGGTTTGTTCTCAATTGACACTAATCCTCATCTTCTAAATGTAAATCATGGTACGGGCTGACTTAACTGCTTGATCTTTTATCTCAAGTTCGATGAAATAGATGCATTTATCATAGTCACCAAATTTTGAATTATCTGGTGAGAGTATATTAACTATATATATATAGCTGAATATGAATTAAAAGGACAATGCTAGCCTCTTTTAATTTTTCCTGAAAAAGCTATTTCATGAAGTCTGCCTCATAATAATAAAAGAGCAAATCGGCAAGAAGAGGAGCAAAGTTGGCTCCCTTTGGAATGCCGATCGTTTGTTGAAAAACACGTCCTCTAAACGTACCAAACATATTGTCATGTCTTTAAATTGCAATTTGAAGGAATAGGAATTTATCGTCAAGTTTTTGATTGAAAAATAAACGCCTTTGTCAATGAGATTGATAGTTATCCCCGTGTTTATAAATTTGTTATTATCAAAATATTTTTTTTGAAATTGTAATCTCATTATCAGATTACAGATGATTAAGAGTAGTATTATACCCCTCGATAAAATAATCTTGTCACACAACTAGTCTACCGACAAGAAAATTTAAACTTTATATTTAGTCTTTTAGTTAAAACCGCAATCTTGATAAATGTGGATTTTTAAGCGAACGACTGTAATTTATAGCTCTTCTCTTAACAAACACAATGTGTGATCATTAAAGAAAGACATGTAGTATTCAAATGTGTCGTATGTATTCAGAATGATCATTCTGTATTCAGGTAATGCGTTTTACATTCTACCTTTAAAGTCATCAAGTATATAACATTTTGATGTATTTCTGCTCTTACTGTTGTATGATCTTTGTGTTGTTATTGTGGTTAAAACATGAAATTACAAACGACATCTTGAATTATAATCTATATTTAGAGATAGCGTATACATAAATTTTAAATTTTAAAATTAATGTTAGGCTTCTAGTTAAAACCGCAACCTTGATAAATGTGGATATTTAGCGAACAACTGTAATTATTTATAGCTCTACTTTTAACAAACACAATGTTTGATCATGAAGAAAAGACATGTATTATTAGAATGTGTCGGAGGTATTCAGAATGTATTTAAATAAGTTATATTAGTTTTCTGATTTTGAAATCAACTGAACGGTTTATTAAATCGTTTGAACAACTGAATCTAGATAAACTCCATATCGCATTCTTGGATTGTAAAAAATTGAAGTACACAATCGATCTAGTTATATGCTTACATCTGCAAATTTTGAGACAGAAGGACAAATTATGTGTTAGACTGTTCATTTCAATAAAGAAAAAACAAATAATGTATTATTTTATTACGACTGTTTTATAAAAACCAATTGAATGTATTTGTTTGAATGAATTTTTCACTCTAGCCTGACAATGGTGATAACTTTTATATATTTTTTATATAAAGGAATGAAAATACAATTTTCTCGTAGCAAGGAAACAAGTTCAATGATATGTATTTTTTTATTTTCTTAATTCATATTATGAAACCTATCTTTTCATATTTTATCATGTTTATTTCTCAATGCTATCTGAAGAAATAAACATAGTAACATCTACATGAATGCAAAGCATTACAACAATTATATCTGAGGAAATATTTTATAAAGACCTTCTTTAATTGTTTTTAAAGATCTTATACCCTCATGTCATGTTATTTTGAATAGCATGTACAAATACGAACATTGATTATACGGTTGGTACGCTTTTTGTTCAATGTGTTACAAAAATTTAGAAAATCGTTTGTTACACATGTTAAATCGTTTGTTTGATAAGTGTATTCATAGTACGGTTTATCAAAACTTTGTACAAATCAAACATCGTTTGGACAGTTTTGAAATTATTTGAAACTATTTTAAATCGATTAAACACTATTTTAATCGCCTTAATGTTTTTCAATCCTTTGTGTATTTTGTCAATCGTTTTTGGATTTTAAATTGTCTTTAATATTTAGAAAATATTTAAAACGATTTATTCACCTTACAAATGTTATGACAACAACTTCATTTAATATCGTTCTTTATAAATACAAAGCAAAATATTCATATTCAGAAGTTTGATGTCATACTCTTTTATAAGTATCTGCAAACTTCAAAGCAATTTCAAAATAAAACATTCCATATATATTTGTATATAAAATAAACAAAATAACAACGTTTCTTTAAATGAGAGGCTAATAATTTTGACAACTGTAGTATTAATTGTGTATTAAACTATCTCTTCAATATACTAGTATATACAGATGCATCATACATACATCACATTTTGTTTTTGTTTTTATTTATTGTTAATCCTGACGGTTGGCTGAAGAATAACAAGTATATGAAAACTCTAAGGAAATCTGTAGTAAATTTAAAACATTACAAGGCCGCTTGTACAGCTGTGTAGGGATTTATAGTTTTGCAGTAGGAACGTCCGGCTGGAATGTAGATGTAAATCCAAGATCGTGTGTCGGGGAGGAAGAGTACCATGCATGTTTTAAACCGTTGCAACAACTCTTTGAGAGGTCACCTGGCGACCCTTTGCAAGACAAAACGTCTTCCCCTATATTGCATACTGTTTTTGTCAGTAACAGTCCTGTACATGTTCCACCCTTTATCAATGTACAGTTATGTGTTGTTATCTCGGACACCGGTGACTAAGTTGTTATTTTTTTTAAAGATTTTTGTAAATTTATAAATTTTGAATAAATTACAAATTACAACGTTTTTCAAGAAGGGATTTTTATTTAGCACGGATGCATCTCAATTTGCATAGGATTGACATGTAATGGACATAAAGATGAGATGAGAATATTGCATTTCATAATATACATTAAACACATTCTAGAGCTTTTAATGTGATATCATCTTTTAAAAACATTTTCTACTTCTCAGCAGTAACAACCCCTCT